AAAGGTACAAGATCCCAGTAATGAATGTAAAGGTACAAATCCCAGTAATGTCTACCTAGAATGTACCAATAAATTCAATTTAAAATTAAAACAAATAAAATAAAATAAAATTTAAAATAAAGGACTAGGGATGTAGTTCAGTTGTAGAGTGGTTGCTTATATGCTGAAAGCCCCTAGTTCAATCACCAGTGTCATACACAAAATGAAAATGCACTCTAGGTTTGGAAGACTTGGTATAAAAATATAGTATAGAGGTCATATTAATAATTTTCATCCAATTACATGTTGAAATAATTTGGGTTCATTAACTTGAATGCAATTTATTACTAAAATTAACCTTTTTTTGCTTTTTAAAAATATGTGTTTTCTAGAAAACTTAAAATTACATATAGTTCATATTTATGACTCATATTTTTTGTTGATAGTCATGCTCGACCTCTTTCCTACTTCCCTTCTCTTATCCATGTGCACACTGTGTTAACTTGTAAAAAATCTCTGTTGTCTTCCAAAAGGGCATGCCAAAGTCTTTCTTCAATATCTTTCATGTCTGCTTAAATATGTTCTCCCTTTTGCTCACTGGCAAAGGCCTACTACCTGTTTCTTCTCCTCCATCCCTCTCCCAGAACCGGTTTTAGTCTGTGCCTATCATACCACACCATACTTCACAAAATTATATTTATTTATGTATTTTTTGGTACCAGAGATCAAACTCAGGTCCTTGTGCTTGTAAGGCAGGTGCGGTACCACTCAGCTAAAAACCTCAGCCCTAAGTAGTTCTTAATCATATTATATTCAGAGAGACTCTCTGAATCTCCTATACTGAACAGATTCTGTTTTAAAATAACAGTAAAATTGAGAAGGAAATAGTTGAATAGTTAAATATACACAAAATGTAGAGGGAAACCTTGCCTCTATCGAAGAACTTCTAACCCAAACAACATGCTGGCGGGGGGCACCAAAATAAAAATAAAAAAGAAGAAAGAAAAAGTACTGACAACCAAATTTTCCTCTAATATTCCTGTCACCAAAACAAACACACACGCACACACACACACACACACACACACACACACACACACACACACAAAGTCAAATTAAAAGCCACCCAGAAATAAAGCTAAAGCTAATAAACATTTATTTTCCAGCAAACATTGACCTCTTTATGAAAAAAACCAGTCTCAAGTCCTCCTGTTCTTGAGTAGTAGCTCCAACATCAAAAGTAAATAACTGGCACTTAAACAGGTGAAAATATCTGAAGAAGAAATATTATCAAAGTCTAACAAAGCACTCATTCAGTCATTTCGTATGAGTAATTTAACTTTTTATTTCAGGAGCCAGTGGTTCTTCAGTGGCCACTTCACCCTCAGATTTCAGAGTGGCTATTAAATTCCCTGGTAACCACTACCAAAGGGAAAGGCCGGGTTTATTTGTGCATTATAATAAGTACATGCAGGATTGAATGCATAAGTTTCATAGTTGTATCTGAGGGGATTATTTCCATCACAGTGTTGAAAAACTTGCTGATTACTGTAGTCATCCTGGGGATTTGCATACATTTGAGGAGAGAAATTATATTCTTCAGTGGGCGACACAAAGGGGTAAGATGTAAACATTGTAGGAAGGCCTCTGCTACCGCCAGTCTCCCCAAAGACATTTTGGTTTGCACTGAAGACATTTTGGTTTGCACTGAAGACATTTTGGTTTGCACTGAAAACATTTTGGTTTGCACTGAAGACATTTTGGTTTGCACTGAAAACATTTTGGTTTGCCCCAAAAGCATTTTGGCTGGCTCCGTGATCAGTAGTTAGCTTAGCTTTAAGGACACGCCCTGCTCCGGGGTAACCTATCCCAGCACTTGGAACATCTTCTACCAGCTGGCTCTGTGACTTTGAATATTGTTTCGGTAAAGCTACTTTAACTTCACACCATCTGGAGCCAATTACATGGAATCTGTCTTGCACCAGCTTCCTCACTGAGTTTGTATCAGCATATGTGATGAAACAGAAAGCTCGTCTTTTCTTTGTTCCTGGAAACAGCGGAAACTCAATATTCTCAATCTCTCCAAATAAGTCAAAATACTCTCTGACTTTTTCTTCAGGCATAAGAGGGTTCAACCCACCGACAAAAACCTTTGTTGGGCGTGATGGAGATGGTACGGCTGTAGCCCTTTTAAACTCTATTTTCTTGCCACCCAGTTCATGCTCTTTCATTTGGAGCACTTTTTCAACACTAGCACAGTCTTTGAAAAGCACAAATCCAAATCCCCTAGATAGTCCAGTGTCTGGGTGAGTTTTGATCTCAAAATCTAGGACTTCCCCGAACTGAGACACATATTCAAGAACAGCTTGCTTACTGATATCAAGGGATAGTCCTCCGATGAACACTTTTCTCACATTCTGTCGATTTCTGCTGATCTTGATTCTGAACCCTTCGGGAAATTGTCCTCTTTCTTTGAATTTGCTCATAGCGAAGCCGGCAGCTTCCATGCTGGTGAGGCTGATGGCGACTGATCGTTGGCAAAATGTACGGCAGAAACGTAACAGTCAGAGAAGGGGACTATGGGAAATTGGCTCGGGAAAGTGACGAAAGAGAAAGAGACCAGTGACGTAGGGACATGCGCACATGGTAACGCGTGCTTAGAATTTTAAAATAGGCGCCAAGGAGAGTACCTGCTATTACAACTGTACTGGCCCCACAAAAGTAGGCTTGTTTTCAGGCTTGGTTTTTGTGCTCTTAAGACACTAGACCATGAAAGGGGACGTTTGTCACAAGGAACAGAAACTCCTGTCTTTTCAAGTTATTATTTATTTGAAATTGTGTTAAAACAATTGATTCTTTCCACATGGCTGCCTTGCGCGTACATAGGTAATTTTTTTTATTCCTTTAAAGTATTTGGGGGCAGGAATGGGAAAAGAGATGAGAGGTAAAGTTGAAATATACACTAAGAAAAAA